TACATAGAATGTGTTCGGCAAGACGCTATTAGCGCTATTTGTATTATTCTATTCTTATTTTACATTAAACAATAAAGATAAAATAACACAAATAATGCGCACACTAATAACATCCCTCTGAATGCACATTTTTTGTACAATGTTACTCACTGTTTGATTACTTCTTTGATTTCATGAATCTTCATCAACGCTATTGTTACGTTTGACTTTGGATGAAAGCACATCACTTTGCAGGTACCTTTAGCAGATCCCATTTGGAACAATTCATCATCAGGTTTCGGTGGATTTGGTACCGATTCTAGTAAAGCAGGAAAATCATTCACGAACGAGAATGTATTTCGATACATTGGAGTTACCTGTAGTACGGAACATCAATCTCTTCAATGAATTAATAGCAATTGAACAAAACATAACATATAAAAAAATTAATTGTTAATTAATTTTCATACATTAATAATGAAAATGGATTTGATCAAATGAATTGCTTTATTATGAAATTTCTGGTGTTATATCAAATATTTAAAATTAAAAAACAATATCTTTTATTTTAGATCGTATATGTGAGAAACACAATCAATACTAGAAATTTGAAATGCCTATTACGGTCGAAGCTGGATTTTCGTTGCTTAAATAATTAAATCTTGAATTACTAATATATACTATATATGTACTTGCATATATACCATATTATAGTCTTTTTCAAACTGCGCGCCGAATTGTTTTTCCGAACTAAATAAACGCAATTAAAACTACTCTAGCAATCGCGAATTAAATTGACAAGCAATTTAATAATTTGATGCGTCCTAAGCCATTAGACCACCGAGGCTCGTATGGAATACAAGAAATCCAGGTTCAAGTCCCGGCCGAGGTAATATTTTTCGCAATAAATTTATTAACAGTTTTAACATATTAACATCTTTATAATATATGATGCTTGATGGTAGCATCAAATTATTAAATTGCTTGTGAATTTAATTCGCGATTGCTAGAGTAGTTTTAATTGCGTTTATTTAGTCCGAAAAAACAATTCGGCGCGCAATTTGAAAAAGACTACAATATGGTATATAGTACATATACAGTATATATAGTACATATACAGTATATATTAGTAATTCAAGATTTAATTATTTAAGGCAACGAAGATCCAGCTTTGACCGTAATAGGCATTTCAAATTTCTAGTGAAATTAAAAATTTTGTTGTCAAAGAAATTTCTATAAATGAAGAATAATACAATACCAATATTAATAAAAAAACAAGTGATATAATACTAAAATAAATAGCAAAGCATTCTTTTATCAACTAAAGTAAAGAATTTTAATATTTTAATGATATGAATTAAAACAGTAAAACGTTATTTGTACAAGGTGGGACATTTTAATAGATATTCCAACATTTTATCATAGAAAATAAATTATTGCATCTGGAACCCCCATACATAAGAAAGAATGAAATATTCATTTCCTATAGTAAAACATTGGGAAATCCATTAAAACTCACAGATGTTATAGTATATTACAGACAAAATATAGATCAAATCTAACTTCTCCACTAGCTCTAACGTTTCCTGGGCAAAGTGGGTTATTGGGATCATAATCTGGAAACTCCTCGTCTGTATTACATTCTATTTGACCTCCCCATGGTCGCTTCATACGATGTGGTGACACTAATACCCATTCTCCTCTTAATGGATTATATCTTATATGTTGATGCTCTGCAAAATAAATCTTAATAAAATAATTATTAATAGAGATATTGAAAAATATTATTTGTATCTAACCAATTGGATCAAATGCTGATGAGATGTTATTTTTTGATACATCTTTTGTTTCATTCTTGCTTGTTTCCAATAATCCGTCATCTATCACAAATTCATAGAATTAGACGATCCATTCTAGATTCTAAAGGATATTTCTTCAATATCAAAATAATATCAGAAATATCCTAAAATTATAAAAAAAAGAATCTTGTGAGAAATATATTGTATTCATATATCAGCTTATACTAAAGCTGCAATATTATATAACAGATTAGATGCTTCATCATTTTGCGTATTTGATTAGATAATCTTTTCTCTGTATATTTTAGGTCATATGAAAATATTATAATACAGAATATTATGATAATATAATTTCTATTTCATATTATTTAATTTAAAAAATTGGATAAAATTTTATTATTAATAAATATAGAATGTGCCTATCTTTTTTAGAAAAGAAAGAAAAATTAATTATCAATATATCTCACATTAAAAATGATAATATAATATTAAATGTTTATAGCATAATAATGATCGCACTTACCGTTCACCGACATCTTTATATAAAAGCTCAGTAAATAACTAAAATTCCGTGACAGAAATTTTATGCTTGATGATTACTGAATATTGTTCTTTCGTGTTTATATGAATCACATTTCTGTGCAGATAACGGGTATATCGACATGTAGGTATAATCTTACGTCAGTCGCGATAAATAAAATTTGAATCAAAGTTCATGGAAGAGGAGAGAATATGTAACTTTCTTACTATTTAATAGAAAAAGATAAGGATGACCAAGTTATATATAGTTCGAAAAATTTTATTGTGAGCTCTCTTCCGGTTAAATCAATAAACTTTGACAGTAGTTAACTCAACTAGCAAATTTGTTTAACGATAGTGTTTGAGTATAACATATAATTAATGTTATCTAATCTGTTTCAATCATACTAAACAGCTACAAAATTAATAAAAATTCTAAGAATAAATAATTTTTTTATTTATATTAATAAAATATAGATATTATAGTTAATCGGAATTTTATCAAATATGCTTTATACGAGGATATAAACAATGTTTTTATACAATTGTTTATTTTAACTCTTTCGTCTTTCATTTTGATAAAAATGATAAAAATACGTTTATTCCATTGCATGGGCGTAAAAACAAAGATTTGAGAAGAAAAAGCGTCAATCTACTTCGTGAAAAACAAGACATTAAAAAAATTAATCTTCAGGTTAGAAAATCTTGGAAAACCTATCATATCGACGAAATGCAGTAACAATTGGCGACAACATGAGCAGAGCTAAATCACAGACTTCTTTATATTATTATACTAGACTGCTAAAGGATCGTTTATACTGGCCGTAATCTGTACCATACAGCCGGTGCTCTGACCATTGTCCAATGTAGCAGGCATAACCGCCATAATGTCTACTGCATATTGGACGCGATGAGCGATATCCAATGAAAGTTCTGCTTTTTCTCACGTGATGATGCATAGCAGAGCTTTCATTGGATATCGTCATCGCTCGTCGCGTTTGGTCGCGTTCAGTGTGCAGTAGGTAATTACGATCGTTCGAAAAAAAAAGGAATTAGTCTTTTCATCGCAAAAGAATTGATAATATTTGGTACTGTTTGACAAAAACAACACAAAATGTAAGTTAAGTACTTGCTTTGTTATATCTTGTACAATTTTATTGATTTTTCCCTACATAGTGTTAATCTATCACTGTTTATATTAAGGATAACCTCAATTATAGCATGCATAACTTTATTTATTTGCATTATTAGTTATCAATGCATAAAAAGTTGAGTAAACATTTTTAGTATTATATATCATATGATATATTATTGATATTTTTTGTGTATCAGGTCGTCTCTAACCAAACCAAAATCTGAGATGACACCAGAGGAATTAGCAAAAAGAGAAGAGGAAGAATTTAACACCGGACCTCTCTCAGTTTTAACACAATCAGTCAAGAATAATACCCAAGTATTAATAAACTGCAGAAACAATAAAAAGCTACTGGGACGAGTAAAAGCTTTTGACAGACACTGCAATATGGTTTTAGAAAATGTGAAAGAGATGTGGACAGAACTTCCACGTACAGGAAAAGGCAAGAAGAAAGTATGTGTGATCATGTATTTCTAGCAAATTACTTAAGTTGTATCTTATTATAACGTAATTCTAAAATTTATATATATATATTTTAAATTTTGGATAGTCAGCAATTATAAATTATTTTAAATAAGAGAAATATTTGGTCAAAGTAGATCTTAAGTGTTTCAATATTTCTGTATGATCGCATACATATCTGATTCTACAAACAATGCACCAAAATCTTTTTCTTAAAACGCATTTATGAGCAAAACCTTTATGTATATAAATTTACATAGAAATATTTAAGCACTAAAGTCAGCTTTGACCCTGATAGCAAGCTGACGATAAAATGACAAATGACATAGCTTGCTGCCAGGGGATTAAACGAAGGAATTCTTCTTATTTAATTAGATTTATTTTCATTGGTATAAATTTATATCAAATTATCTGATATTTATTGCTGAATTATTTGATACATCATATATATATATATACACACACGTATGTGTGTGTATGTGTGTGTGTGTAATCATATAATTGTTATTTAATATGAAAAATTGAGTCTATTGTTGAGTAAGTTTTGAATTTAGAAGGAAAAGGATATAATTAACTGATATTTCAAGTAAATATTCTAATACATTTAAGATATTCTGTATGCCTTCCAACAAGCGACAGTGCGATACAGTTATCATGTCATCTTTGTTTAACATTGGCAAACAAGAATGTAATGATTAATTATGTCACATTGTCATTTGTGTCGGTTGTTGGAAGACACACTCTATTGTAAGTCTAACAAAAAATTAATAAAAAAGTAAATATAGATTATATAAATTATTAATATTTATATTATTAATTATTTACAAATAGGCAAAACCAGTAAATAAAGACAGATTTATTCCAAAAATGTTTCTACGTGGAGATTCTGTCATTTTGGTTCTGAGAAATCCACTGGCAACTGCAGCAGGAAAGTAATAATCTAAGAATCATTTTAATTTTATAAATTTAATATTATTAAGGCTAATAATATAATAAAAGAAATAAATTTTTTTGACATGACCACAGCAGCGTTTATTAACGCGATAAACCTTTTTCTGCACAAATCTTTAATCTTGTTCATTAAATATTAAGTAAAAAAGTGTGTTAGGCAGGACATATTTATTTCTTATGAATTGTATACAACATTATCAATCCTTTTCGGCAATTGCGGTTAAATGTTTATCAATCTCTTGCTCGGTCAGTATACTGTAATAGAAAAATAATTAATAAAAAAAAAAGTACAGCAGTGAAAAATAAAATTTTGTTATCTATATATGAAATATTAATATCAAAACTATCATAAATTACCGGAATTTGGGATTGTCCTTTGATACAACTCCTACTTCAATTTCAGTTGGTTTAAAGTCTACAGACAAGACTGTAGACAGACAAGTAATGGCTAGTTGTATAGTCTCGTCGTAATCATAGTTTTGTTTCTTCTTTAATTTTTTCTCGAGATAGGAATTAGCTTCCGTTTGTTTTGCTCCAACGGAGATAGCTCTATACCCACAAAAATATCCCGCTGGATCGGCCTTATAAATACATGGACCTTTCTCTTTGTCATATGCAATAAGCATCATGGAACATCCAAGAGGTCGCATCTCTGCATTTTGTGTATATACTTGACTAATGTCTGCGATACGCTGACACAAAGCGTCTACAGGTATCTCGTAGCCATACTTGTATTTAAAATGAGCTGCTTCGTATCGCGCACGTTGTACTTGAGACTTGCTGTCGGCTGTGGAATAGGAATTACAACGAATTTAACTGGATGTATATTAAAGCTGTTGTGCAATTATATCTGAGTATAAAAGTAAAATGCAAATATTTCAAATTACGAATTATATATTTTACCTAAACACAATAAAATATTTTTAGGAGTTTGCAGTTTAATTTGTTTCTACATTTATATAAACTCACATTTCTACATCGATTTATGCCTTTACAGAAATTTAATACTAGCCAATTTATTACTAAAAATACTGAACAGTGCTTTTAATGCTTAAAATAACTGATTTCACATTGACTGATATTTTCTATGTAAGACATGTCGCATAACCAATAAGTATAACAGAAAATACAGAATGTCTGATAAAAAAAATATCAGTCCATATGAAAGCTCTTTTACATTTCTATAAGAGTGCACAACAGCTTTAATATGTAACAGTGTCTACTGAATGTGTCCAATTTGCTATTAGAAAGAGAACGTTAAATTTGGCATAGTTAAAAATTCTCCAAACTTACCTATCATACCAGTCATGACACAACCGATGTAGTCGGTCAGCTGAAATACATGAGTGACACTGGATGCATCAAGTAACTTGTCCTATAAAAACGAAGATAATATATTACTTTGATATAAATATGATTATTAACTGAAACTAAATACTAAATTATCATTATAATTTCTAAATACTAAATTATCATTTCTAATAAAATGTTAAGCTACTAAGGTATACAAAGAATTGGAAGAAACTAAATTTAAAGTACTAGTAGGAAGATGTTTAGGAGATCCTTACAGGCACTTTCTTCTGTGTTGCAAAAACTGCTGTCTCGACCCCTTTGACGGCTACAGACGTCAGGCCACCTTGATTGATAGCTTTAAAGGCGTATTCTGCACGAGATACAAGGAAAAAGGGCGCTTTAATAAATTTCAAAATGCAGATCACGTCGAGTCATTGTATAAAATGCAAATAGGCGATCTATACGAACGACGATGCAGATTATATGATAACTATTCCCTGAAATATTTTTGATCCTTACCTACTTGGTACAGCCGGCCTTCCGGTGAAAAGATCGTGATATGCCTGTCAAAACCAGCACTACTACCACGCGCCATGTTCGCTTATACAGAAAATACAGAAATCGGCGATTACGCTTCCCGTCCGCGGCTTTTCGACCAATTTGCTGTGAAAACCAGTGAAAACGTCAAATCATAGGTCTGTTCTTTGTAGTTGAACTTTCTACACTGGTGTAGAAAGGATACATATGTGAGTACAAAAGTGCGTTCCGAAATTTTCCTGATGGCGCGGTCTCGCGGAATTGGCGGAACGTTCGTGATTGGTCGTGGCTTCATTCCGCCGTTTTCTGTTGCGCAAATTTATTTCTTTTGCGGATTTCGCCGATGTCTGTATAGCGGGGAGCACAGCTCTTGCATAACGCATAACACGTAATGCATAAAAAATGTGCCAATCGAAGTCCTTCATTTCCTTCTTTTCTATGAAATAAAGAACTCTGATTGGTTCAATTTCTTATGCCTCATGTGTTATGCGTTATGCAAGAATCTGTGCTCCCCGCTTAAATGTGCGTGTGAATATACTTATTATAAAAACTAACTTTGTTAAACTGGTTTAAACGGAGAAAACTGTCTCCTACAAGCACATGGTTAATCTATATGTTGAAGCATATTTGGATTACCACCTGGGTATTCTCCGGGTGTTATGTCATCCTTGTTTAACATTCGATAAATAATAAGAATGGAATGATACTTGGGTAGCACTCAGGTGGGAATCTGAACATAAGGATATATCCACACAAATTTGCATAGCCGCATAAACATATGCATAAAGAAAATTATCCAATTGCAGTTCTCTTTTAAAGTCGTACATAAAATGTGATTGGATAATATTCTTTATGCATACGTTTATGCGGCTATGCAAGTTTGTGTGGATATACCTTTACCCTGAAGGTAATTAATTAAGGCCCTGCGCACAATAACGCGCAATTGAGTTTATGTTACTCTTTTAGGGCCACTTTTACCATCGTCGGTTTACTTAATCAGTCTAGTAACTGTAATAAAATAGAAAGAGATAGAACTATTTCTATCTCTTTCTATTTTATTACAGTTACTAGGCTGGTTAAGTTAACTGAGCTTGGTGAAAGTGGCCCTGAAGCGGAGTCTACAATAGAAGTCGTAGCACTCGTAGAGTCTTAAGTCGTAGAAAATTAACCAATCACAGTAGAATATGAGAAGAATAATCGACTATGATTGGTCAATTTTCTACGACTTAAGATCCTACGACTGCTATGACTTCTATTGTAGACCCTGCATTAGACTTTCGTATTCTGTATATTGTTTTTTTGTTACTCACCGCTAGAGTCCTAGATTTATCAGAGAGGCGCAATCAGTGTTATGCATTCTGATTCGCTGTTGCAATCTAACCAATTGCATGACTTGGCAGCCATTTATAGTACT